CAAATCCAGACTTTCAGATCTCAGCCTTCTGAGTAGCTAGGATTACAGAGTCACTGGCACCGGAGTGATTGGCTAGCTTTATTAGAGAAAACCTGAGAGGGTCTTTGACATTCTGGCTGTGGTTCAGAGATCCTGGAATTTTAGGGGGGTGAAGAGAGGGAGGGGTGGTAGAGTGCTTGCCTTGCATGCTTGAGGCCCTGGGTTCGATTCCTCAGCACCACATAAGCAGAAAAAAAAAAGGCCAGAAGTGGTGCTGTGGCTCAAGTGGTAGAGCACTCGTCTTGAGCTGAAGAGCTGTGGGACAGTGCCTAGGCCCAGAGTTCAGGCCCCACGACCGGACCCCCCCTCCCCAAAAACAGTTAATAAAAGGTTGAGGGAGCAGGATCTAGCTTTCATCTCCACCACGGAGATGACCACCACCAAATACAGTGTGCAAGAGGTCAGATACGTTATTGCATTCTTTTGGAGGCAATCTTTTTTGCGCCAGCTGGAGGCTGGCGTCTCAATAGACCAGGTGGTAGTCCTTGGAGGAGAGGAATGGTTGTGCAGTTCTGGCCCCGGATAAATAGACATTGGGAGGGGACTGGGGTCACTAGTGGGGGCAGGGAAAGTGAGTGGGTGGGGCCCCCACTGAGCCTCAGCCTCCAAGGGGAGGGACACTCTGGTCTTCAGCCGAAAATGAAGGCAGAGGGTGGCCAGGCAGCTTGGGCTAGAGACAGGGGCCTGGCCGGGGGACCCCCTCCTTTTCCCTCTTCTCTCTCTCCGCCCCTCCCCCATCCCCACCCTCCCCTGCCCGGTCCCCTACAGCCCCCAGACTTAGCGTCAGGGCTAGGTCGGAAGGCCGGCTGGAGAAGGAACGCAGCAGTCTTCTGAGAGGTGATCTGGATGTGGCAAACCTGGGAAAAAACACGGCTCCAGCTCGCTCAGGTGCCGGTCCTCAGGCCGGCACCCCTGTCCAGGCTGTGCCGAGTTGGTCCCCGAGGCTTCTAGCGCGTCTTGCCAGGAAAGCGGCACCGGCTGCTGGGCAGGGCTCAGCCCAGGCCGGGGTGTGCACACTGGGCCGGTGCGGCAGCTCATCACAGGTCCGGGCCGTCGGACCCCTGGGTGGGGAGCCACCAAAGGACACCAAGCCCACCCGATGATGGGAAATGGGCCTGGCTTGCAAACGAGTGTGACTGTACTTGCGGTTGGCCTGAGTCAATGGCTTTACAGCCTCGATGCTGGGGGACTTGATCGGGTATCCCGGCCTTGGGGATGAAGATGCAGGAGCAGTCCTCCATGCCCCATCTACTCCGTTCACTTCGTCATCGCCCTCCACCCTGGGGCCAGTGGTCTCCGAGGAGCTGGGACTCAGGAGCAGGGGAGAAGCGTCCTGGATGGCACCCATCGCAGAAGATGCACCTCTAACGCCCAGCAGTGCGAAGCCCAACGCCAGGGCACGGCAGCAGGCACGCGCCTGGTATTTGCGTCTATTTATTGTAACTTATGAGCCACTATTGATGGATTACTATTTCAGAGCCGGCAGTAGGGCTTCTATGCTATACAGCCTATAGATTCCCGAAGGTTTATACAATTACAGCATCCATCTTACAGATTCCTTACAGAATCACACGGCACAATCCCTGCCCCCAAATCCTATGTTTTATCTCCTCCTCCCTCTTCTCATGCCATTTCCCCCCCCTAGTCCTAGGGCTTGAACTCTGGGCCTGGGATCTGTCCCTGAGCCTCTTTGTGCCCAGGTTAGTGCTCTACCACTTGAGCCCCAGAGCCACTTCCAGCTTTTTGAGTAGTTTATTGGAGGTAAGAGTTTCATGGACTGTCCTGTTGTGGCTGGCTTTGAAGTGTGATCCTGAGATCTCAGCCTTCTGAGAAGCTTGGATTACAAGTGTGAGCCACTGGTGCCCAGCTTTACACCACCCTTAATACCCAGGCACTGATAATCTTTGCCTTGTCCAGTATGTCATACAGTTGAGCCATATGGCTTTTCTCAGGAAAAGATGGTTTCTCCAGGGCATTCCCATTGCTCAAGCTGTACCAGTTTGCCACCAAGTCCATTCTTCTATTGAAGGACATGCATATTGTCTACAAGTTCTGTCAATTGTGAGTGGGTAGAGACTTTAAAGTCATTGCGTGCAGGACATAAACTTTCAATTCATCGGTTAAAAACACCCAGGACCTAGGTGCTTGGTGGCTCATGCCTATAATCCTAGCTATTCAGGAGACTCAAAGTTCAAAGCCATCCTGGGTAGTAAAGCCCATGAAGACTCCCACTCCAATTAATGAGCAAAAAAGCCAGAAGTGGAGCTGTAGCTCAAATGGTAGAGTGCCATTCTCGAGTGAAAAAGTGAGTGATAGTGCCTAGGCTAAGTTCAAGTCCCAGTACCAGCACACATATACCCCTAAAAAATAAAAACAGAAAAAACCCCCACTGATAATTGAATGTACTACTAAATGGTATATGCACCTTTCATGAAGACAAATATTTTAAAGTCCAAAAAAGACTCCTGGAAGTAGATTTTGGTGATGTCTAAGAATTTTTTCACTTTCAATATTTCACTTAAAGTACAACAGAGAAAATGCACATAAACTACAGTTACACTTCAGTGTCTCTCAAAAATCATATAAATATACTGACAAACTTTTTCCTAATTTCCTGTTCTTTTTTGAGATAGGTTGCTAGGTTGCCCAGGCTGTCCTTGAACTCAAAAATCCTCTTGCCTCAGCCACCCAAATAGCTGGATTATAGGCATGTTCCCTTATGACTGTCTTAACTTCCTTTTCCATCTTTGCAAAATAACCCAATAACCTCTAAAAGACTTTTCTGGGCCCTGTCCCTCAGCTCTTCACTTCAAGGCTAGCGCTGTACCTCTTGAGCCACAGCGCCACTTCCGGCTTTTTTTCTTTTTCTTTTTGCTTATGCGGTGCTGAGGAATCGAACCCAGGGCCTCAGGCATGCAAGGCAAGCGCTCTACCACTGAGCCACCTTCCCAGCCCTCCTCTAAGAGACTTTTATAATTCTCACACTTCATCATGTATCATGACCTCAACATATATGGCAAGATGTTGGTGAATAAAACTTATTTAAAATACTGGACAAAATTGCTGAATGCCCCATATCCAAGAGGGTAGGTAGAGCAATAGAATACCTGTAATCATAATTACTACGTTGAGGACTTGAGTTCAAGCCCTAGGACTGGAAAAACAATTTCCATATTTATGAAATATTTTTGCCTAATATTTTGCAAGCACTATTCTAAAAAGAGATAAGAGCAAGCACTTAAGTGCTTACTTACTATGTGCGAGGCCCTGGCCTGAGTTTCACACATATAAACCAACTTATTCTTCAAACACAATACGTCTATAACACAGACACAATGGGGTGGGGGGGGGGTTGTTTGTTGACACAGATACTATTAATTTTCTCATCTTATATGTGAGAAAAAGGGAATAGGGAAATAGGGAGTAAGGAAGCAAACTCATCCGGATTGTAATTAGTAGAGAGTATGCTCTAAATTCTGGCTCTTATGGAGTTTTTAATCTAAAATGCTTCCATTGTTATTCTTTGCCTCCATGACAAAGGGTTTGTGAACAAATAAAACAGGATTGAGTATGGCTCAAACAAGAGGGTTTTTAACAAATGTTTAACTAAGGTCTATCTTCATATTCATATTTTGTGAAGATACTCAAAATATGTAAGAGTTGTTATGCAAGACTTAATTCTGTTTTAATAACTGGGTAAAATTCCTTCACTTTTTCATTCTCTATTTATATATCGGTAGATAGTTAGTATCCTGTATTTGGAAAACCACTCGCCTATTCCAGGTAGGCAAAGTGGGGCTAAAGATCACAGAACTTTCTCTCAGCTTAGGGGCAGGTCTATTACCAAAGCAGTTGGATCTTACTCCCTTGGTCACACACAGCAGCTTAAGAATACAAAAATAAGATCCACGGTCATCTAGTCTTCTTTCAGACTGATGGAACTTTTTTCTTGTTAATGAAATTAGAAATTCTGCTAACAGCCACCTGTTTCAGGCAGGGTATGAACTGTTCACCCTAAAGGCTTGGGTGCAAAACAGTTCCCAGCTATTTGGTCCAATCACTGAGAGGTGTTTCAATTATGAGGCTTTTACGTAAACAATGGAGGAATCCTTACATGGGTTCCTAATATGATAGTATTACTGGGAAGAGGTGGAAAGTAGGAGGTGAGGCTTAGCTGGAAAAAGTAGGTCACCAGGATGTGTCCCTACCTTACCCCTTCTTCCTGTCTTTTTGCTTCCTGGCCCCCAGGAGGGGAGCCTCTGCCACATTCTCTTCCCACAGTGACACTGCCTGCTGCCTGAGGTCTAAAGTATGGATCCAGTTGATTCTGGACTGACACTACTGAAACTATGAGCCAAAATGAATCATTCCTCCCTTAAGTTGCTTTCCTCGGCTCTGACTTTTGTCAGAGTGAAGAAACTGACCAGTATATTTTTTGTCCTTAAGAGAAAATAAAATAACTACAATGTTGAGAGATGGAGAAATTCAGAGTGAACACAATCTAGCTATGCATGGGTTCTGGTATAAATGAGTATACACTTATGCTAAGTGAGTTTCCATGACTTTAGATAAATTTCAACTTTTTTTTTTGGCAGTACTGAGGTTTGGCTCATTTTACAGTCCTGCTTTTCAGATAGGTCTTGTGTTTTTTTACCTGTATTGGAAAACTGTGATGCTCTTGGTTTCCACCTCTTGAGCAGCCAAGTGGCAAGAGCCACTATGTCCAACTTTCAAGGTATATTTACATAAGCATTAGATGAATTTGAATGTAAAACAATGGTTATGTCAAATATGAATATAACTCTGCTAGTCTTCTTCCTTTATGAACAAAGAATTGTTTTTTGTTCAAGAGATGGTTTAACTAGTTTTTCAAAACTGTCATCTCCAAATTCATAGTGACTACAGAGCATTATTTTAGTATTTCTACTTTAAAAAGTCGTATCACACAACCACACTATAACTATAAACACCAAATGTTTTATTTTAAAGGATTGGAAAAGCATTAGAAGACAAATGTCTGTTATAGCCAGGAATGTTAAATATATGAAAACTGTAAAACTTCTAAATGTGGTAGGCACTTTCAGAGCTACATATTTAAATTGTCCTACTTTCTCCTCTAATGACAACAGCAATGATACGATGAGAAATGCCAAGAAGGTCCAACTAATGATTATTCATTTTGGGATTCAACTTAATTGCACAAGTTAAAGTTCTGTCCAAGATGTTCCTGACACATGAAGCTTCCAGTTGAATTTCAGAAATGTTAACAAAAATATCTTCCTTTTTTGCCTGTGACTGTTTGAGTATTGTTGTATTGTTGACTTATATCCACTACAGATACTGGTTCTAGGCCAGCCCAAGGGTCTTCAAGCATTGAAGGCTTGAAATAACTTTCCAACTCATTAGACATCCTTTTTTCTCTACCACGCCCTGATCCAAATGGTGTAGATGTCCTTGGAGAACCCTTCAGGAAAAAAATCATCAGTTAAAAAAAAATTACTAGAGATAATTGGTATGTATCCTTCAGTTAAAGGGTAGTAGGAAATCACATTGCTTTTTAACAGTTTCTATGTGAAATCAATTATGTTGCACTACAAAGTTTATGCATCCTTTAATGTTTTTAGTTGTTTTTGTTAAAAGTGCTTAAACTAGTTTTGTATACTTAATAATTCTTGCCCATTGTCCACCTCAAATAATTTTTAGCTTTAAATGTACTAACCCTGCACATACTCAATAGCAAGTGATAATGGACTCAAGTCCAATCAGTGACACAATTTTCCCCAGAAACACACCCTCATTAAGAAATTAAGGCTTATTTTTAAAGTTTTTTTTTTTTTTAAGGTTGCTAGAACGTGAAAATTTCCTATATTCAGGCTTTAGGGGGTGCAGCAGGTTTAGCAAAGATCCTGAAAAACACCTCGTGATTCCAAATTGTTGGCCCAAGAAATCTTCGCCACACCAGAGATACAGCCTATTTTTCATTGGTTCTCACTGAAGAACAAGAAATATCTGCTACCACCAACTTTGCCCTCGAGAGAACTTGGAGCAGAAGAAGCAAGGTAGCTCGAAGAAAGGATAAATTAAAAAAAAAAAAAAAAAAAGCAAGGAGGGGGGAGGTAACAGTTACAGTAAAATGAGACCAGCGTATAACCACAGACGCTATATATCGGGGAGTCATTCGCGTTTCTCTCCTGAGAGCCCGGGGGGGTTGCGAGACGGAGAGGAAATGCAGGCCTAAGGAAATCTGTGCGTAAGGGCTCTGCCACTTACGGTACTTAGACACAGATGCTCGAAGCCTCTGAGTTCACTCGTCTATGAAACAGGGCTACCATTCGTTATTCTACACCAAAGAATCACGTCAAGGAATCATAACAGCCTGCCTGCCACGGCGGGAAGAGTTCGGCAAACGCCGCCTGGTAGGTTTACCTGGGGGTAGGCCGGCGGTTGCCCCGGGGAATAGCCGAATTGCTGCTGGGACCCCGCGGGGGACCTGGAGTAGGAGCCGGGGTAGCCGCCCGGGGACGGGGACCCGAACCGGCCCCCCGAGAAGCCGCCGCCGTGTCGTGGAGAGTGGTTGCTCCCGTAGGGCCGAGCCCGGGGCCCGAACGGTGGCGTGCGGTGCGGGCTCCCGAACCCGTCCCGAGGGGAGGGCGGCCGCGGCCCTCCTCCGCCTGGGGCACCCCGGAAGCTGCTCCCGTTACCCCAACTTCCTACACCCGGGCTGGGGTAAGGAGGGGTCGGGGGTCGGAAATTCGGTCGCTGCATGTCTGGTACGAGAGGCGAGAGCCTCACAGCCGCGCTGTCCCGCCGGAACTGCACCGAACGAAGCGCCTCGAGACAGCCGGAAGTCCGGGCCTAAAACGGTCCTACGTCCGCTCGTCCGGACGGCACTTGAAGCCCCACCAGCCAAAGGTTCCGCCGAGCGTGATTGGACTTAGTGAAAGAGGAAGGAAAAGGGAAAACCGAGGCCAGATCGTTCCTAGCATGGATTTCCCAAATCCGGCACTGTTTGGTAGGATCCGCATATTTAAAGGCGCCAATTAGCGGAAGGCGCGAAGTGATTCCCGCCCCACCGGACGGAGGCGTGTCCTGAGCGGGGCGGGGCCCGCAGCGGGGGCGTGTCCCTACAATAAGGCGTGTCCACGGAGGGCGGGGCCTTGTCCGGAGGCGGGGCCCCGTTAGGGGCGGGGCCATCTCTGGGAGTGGCCCAGTTGGGGCGGGGCCATCGCGGGGGCGGGGCCATCGCGGGGGCGGGGCCCGGTTGTCTGTGGTCTCCCCTGCTGGCGGTGAGCGGCGCCGTCGCGCGGGTTTCCTTTTCCCTCAACCCTGCGGCCGCCGAGGTGTGAGGCGCGCGATGCTGGCGACGCTGGCGAGGGCAGCGGCCCTGTGGAGAACTAGCTTCCTCTCCGGCTGGGGCGGCGGGAGGGGGCTGTGGACAGGCCGCCCGCAGTCAGGTACCCGCAGACCCCCGGCTAGGGGCGGGCGGTGGGGATCCCGCCGGCGGTGCTCCGCTTCCCCCGGTGTCCGGTCCTCCCGTCCCGCTCTCTCCCCTCTGAGCCGCCAGGCCGGGGTCCCGGCAGGCCCGCGCTTTGCTTCATTACCGCAACTCCGCACCCCGAACTTTAGACGACTTTCCAGACTTGGCCCCCACACACCCGGGTGGTACTAGTCAGGCCTTTCCCAGCCGTAGCCCGCTGCCTGGGTAACTGGGGGTAGGCCGTCCCAACAGAGGCCGCACTTTGCCCCTCCGCTTCAATGGAAGCAGGCCAGGAAGCCGACTGACAGGTTTTCAGAAAGGGCAAAATGTGGCTTTTAAAATCCTGGTTGTAGCCGGGCGCCGGGGGCTCACGCCTGTCATCCTGGCTACTCAGGAGGCTGAGATCTGAGGATCGCGGTTCAAAGCCAGCCCGGACAGGAAAGTCCGTGAGACTCCTATCTCCAATAAACCACTAGAAAACTGGAAGTGGCGCTGTGGCTCAAGTGGTAGAGCGCTCACCCTGAGCTGAAGAGCTGAGGGACAGCGCCCAGGCCCAGTGTTCAAGCCCCACGACCGACAAAAAATCCTGGTTGTTTCCCTACCGTGTAGTGATAAAGGAAAGTGTATTAAAATGCAAGATTGCCACCGCATCCACAACAAAACACATCCTGATATAGAATACTTGTCCTTGAATTTCAGGTAGAGGATGAAATTTAAGTTTACTACATCCTTATAGAACTTTTTTTTGGTTTTGTTTTGTTTTTGGACGGTCATGGGGATTGAACTCTGGGCCTGGGCATTGTCCCTCAGCTCTTCAGCTCAGGGCTAGTGCTCCATCACTCGAGCTACAGCACCACTTCTGGTTTTCTAGTGGTTAATTGGAGTTAAGAGTCTCAGAACTTTCCTGCCTGGACTGGCTTTGAACCTCGATCCTCAGATCTCAGCCTTCTGAGTAGCTAGAATTACAGGCGTGAGCCACCGATGCCCAGCTAGAATTTGTTTTTTGAAAAATGTTATTAAGTAATGTTACAATTCCATGTCAGCTTATGAGGACAATGTATCTTGGTCAATGCCACGCCTTATGTCATTCTCTATTTCTCTCTCCCATCTCTACCTTCATAGTCCATATTTTACATAATGTATGTTGCATATAACAACTACATTTGCTTACCTTTCTTCCTTCCTCCGTTCCTTTTCCTCCTCCCACTGCTCCAACCCTCCCCCCCTCCCAACATGTTGCCACTTTCTGGTAGTCATTTTGTTAAAAAGTAGGTTTTTGTTGTTGTTGTTTTGTCGGTTGTGGGGCTTAAGCTCTGGGCTTGGGATCTGTCCCTCAGCTCTTCAGCTCAAGGCTAGTGCTCTACCACTCGAGTCAAAGCACCACTTCAAGTTTTCTGGTGGTTTACTGCCGATGAGAGCCTCACGGACTTTGTACGGTGATCCTTAGATCTCAGTCTCCTGTGTAGCTAGTATTACAGATGTGAGCCACTGGCGCCTGGCTAGTAAAACTTTTTACTCCTTAAAAATTTGGAAATGGGAATATACTAATGAATCCGGAAATCAACTTGGGGGATACAGAATCATAAAGAACTTCATTAAATCAGCCCAATGGGCAGCTTGGATCTGTGTTTTTCAGTCAGCCAGTGCATCTCTTGGCACCTCTTCTGTGTATTCCGCCTTTCTGACATGTTGTGGGACTTGCCTACACGAAGAGTGTGCAGTCTCCTCAGCTTGATTTCTGCATCCCCCTTGATGTTGCTAGTTTATTCTGCAGAAACTTGGTTCACCTCATTTGTTTTATTTTGTTTTTGAGACAAAGCCACTTTATGTAGCCCAGGTTAGAAGACATGTCTTTTCTTCAGAAGACCTAATTCGTAGAGTTCAATCAAGACAAGGTAATGCACTGCCATGGATACTTAATGATATGTTTAAGACCTACAAGACTCCTGATTTCTCATTTTCTTTTTCTTTTCTTTTTTTTTTTTCTTTTTTTTTTGGGTCCGGTAGTGGGGCCTGAACTCTGGGCCTGGGCACTGTCCCTCAGCTCTTCAGCTCAAGGCTAACGCTCTACCACTTGAGCCACAGCGCCACTTTCTGGCTTTTTTCTTTTTGCTTATGTGGTGCTGAGGAATCGAACCCAGGGCCTCAGGCATGCAAGGCAAGCGCTCTACCACTGAGCCACCTTCTCAGCCCCTGATTTCTCATTTTCTTACACAGTGCTCTCCTAGAATTTACTTTTCTGAACACATTGTGCTTTGTTTCATCCCTAACAGTTGGATGGTCATAAAATTATTGAATGGATAAGTCACATAAAATCACTTTTTATGTCATCAGTCTACTTACAGAGGAGTCAGAGATGTGCAGGTGGTGGGAACTGAAATTACTTTCTTTTATTTGTATGTATGTGTGCAGATCCTGGGGCTTGAGCTCAGTTCCTAGATGCTATCCTTAAGCTTATTTTGCTCAAGGCTAGCACTCTTACTACTTGAGCCATAGCTCTACTTTTGACTTTTTTGATGGTTAATTGGAGATTAACTATCATGGACTTTCCTGCCTGGGCTGGTTTTGAACCAAGATCCTCAGATCTCAACCTCCTGTGAGTAGCTAGGGTTACATATGTGAACCACTGGTGCCAAGTCTACATTTATTTTAATAACGGCTGAAGATATGCAGCATAAGTTATCAGGCTCATGCTTCTGGAGTATTTTTATCTCACACAAAGGAGTTTGCATTAGAAAGCTGGAAGGGGGTATACAGCAGAAAAAGTTTGAAGGTAGACTAGACATGCCAGCACATATAAGTATAACACTGAAGACCGACAGATAGTGAATCATTAATAGCTACATGAAATTCAGATCTGGTTCAATGACTTCTGAGACTTTCCTCTATATAGGTAAGAAACTGACTTGCTTAAGTTAAATGACTTGCTTAAGTTCCTATAGCAAGCAGAGCTGGAATCAGAACACAGGCATTCTGAATTCTAGAATAATTTTTTTTTGCCTAAGAAATATAAAGTCCATTCTTTGAAAAATATGACGAATATGGGGCTGGGAAGGTGGCTCAGTGGTAGACTGCTTGACTTGCATGCATGAGGCCCTGAGTTCGATTCCTCAGCACCACATGAAGCAGAAAAAGCTGGAAGTGGTGCTGTGGCTCTAGTGGTAGAGCGCTAGCCTTGAGCTGAAAGAGCTGGGGGACAGTGCCAGGCCCAGAGTTCAGGCTCCACAACTGGCAAAAAATAAAAATAAAAAATAAAAAATATGACAAATACGTAAAGTTTTGGAAGTGGTACTAAGTTGTTTCTTTTAGGTGTAATCTCTACATCTAAAAGCTACAACCTTAACTATTGATTTTTTTGTAAGTATGACTAGGGTTTTCCCAGGCTCTAGTCTGGTGTCTGATGGGGTGCCCTTGTCATCCTCATACATCTGTTTGCATGGAATTTTGGTGTGTGGTGTTAGCTTCAGAGGAAGAGGGAAGAGGGAGGAGGTTTCGTGTTGGGTCTCCTGGAGGTAGAAAAGTGAAGAACTGGGATGATGGATGTCAAGGACAGGATGTGAGTTTATGGTGACTGCCCAGTGGAGGAAAAAGGGCAATTCACATTCTTTGTTATCAAATAGCCATCATTAGTGCATACAGAATTGCTTCACTGTATTGGGAGGCCCAGCATGATCATGGATGGGACCATGAAAGCTTCGATCTGTGGTTAGGCCCTGTCTTCAAGTAGCATTCTACACAGAGGCATCAGCAGACAGAAGAAAATCAAGGAGCTGGGCTGGTAGCTCACACCTGTAATGCCAGTTACTCAGGTTGCTGAGAGTGGAAGGGTCATGGTTGGAGGCTAGCCTAGGCAGAAAATTTCACAAGACCAGCCAATAACCAGCAAAACCCAGGTCTGGGCATAGAATTTATTTTGGTAGGGTGACCCTGGATGTGTAGGCTTATGAGAATGTGTGCTGCTGAACAAAAGAACAGGCTCAGGAGTTACTTCAGCACCACCTTAAAATAAGCTCAACCCCAAATATCAAGAGAAATCAAGAAAGAAAGCTGTTAAGAAAAAAAAAGAAGAACAGATACTGGACCTGATGTAGCTTGAATAAATGTGTGGTGTGGCCTGCTAGAGATAACTGGGTTAAAACAATTATGTAATTAAAAACAAGTCTGGAGATGTGGCTTAAGTGGTATAGCACCAGCCTAACATGCACTAAACTTAGTTCAAATACCAGAAAAAAGTGAAGGAGGAGGAGATAAGCAAGAAAATTTGTATTAATGAATTGCATGAAGAGCTCCAGAAATAACTGATTACATTTGTGGTAGGATGTATTTCAGAAATTTAGAATTTAAGGCAAATTATGGGTACCATCACAGGGAAATTTAAGTATGAAGATAAATGAGACCTGTCTGTTTCTATAAGACTGTGTGGATCTTTATTTAGATTAAGATTTTTTCCCCTTTTTTGGAGAGAGTGTTTCTTTTTGAACTAGATTTCAGTTTTTTTTTAAATTTTTCATTGAGCTTTACTTTAAAAATTCTATACTTGGGAGTCTAGTGTATAAAAGTAGAAGAACAGGGATTAAAGCAGGGATTGTGGAGCTGTGGCTCAATTGACAGAGCACCAGCCTTGAGCAAAAGAGCTAAAGAGCAGTGCCCAGGCCCTCAGTTTAAACTCCAGTACCAGTACAAAAAATAAAAACAAAGCAGGGATTGGAGCCCCTGAGCACACTGTGGACTCTTACTTCACTCTCCCTAGTCAGTGATCACCTAAGAGACTCTGGGATCGCTCTGAGGAATTCCAGTGTTGAACCACACTATTTTAGGTAGGTGGTAGATTTAAGCAATGCTGTGAATACCAATACTTCAGTTGCTTTTAGTTTTATTGTGATACAACAAGAAATAAATATTTTCCTGTTTCTGCATTGTTAGGACTTTCTACATGGAGAAATCTGGAATCTGGGCTAAAGGCCAAGTCCTGGAAAT